ACTAGGTTGGTTGCCTAACTTGGGGGGCTTGACTATTGTAATTAATGTTTTAGGAACTTGTATATATATGTGTTGATTGTAAGTAATGCAAGACATAAGAAAGAATTCTAAACCAGAAAATCTCTACACAAATCTCTACACTTTGTTTGGCAGTCTACACTTTCATCTTGTTTCTCACTAATACATTAATCTTATTTTCAAAAAAGTTAAAACATTAACATATTAAATATATTATTATATTAATTTATATTAAAACTTAATATATTAATGTCATATCTTTGATCGTATTGAATTTTGTATTATATGTAATGAAAGATTATGAAGTTTTTTTGTCATGATTATTTTTTCATACAAACCGATCATCCAATCCAATCCAATCCAATGTACATTTGATCAGATTGAATTGGATCCTGACTTCCAATCATATTGGATTGGATTATAAAATTTGTAATCCAATAAATGATTGGATTGAATTGGATTGGTAAAAAAATTACTAGTTTCGAACCGATGCTCACCCCTACAATGCAATTTGGATAATTGGGTCTTAATGTCTTAGCAAAAGACAATGAAGGAATCTTTGAACTTCTTGGAAGGTTAGGATTAGAATTTGGATAGTTGGGTCATAATTTGGACAATTAATTAAGTTGTATTTTGTCAAAGGGATATATGATTAGTAGAATACATGGAAATGAAAACAAGGAATGGGGGCAAAACAAAAACTACTATGGCATGGGATGGAAGTGTTTGTATATATATGTAGATATTATATTAGAATGTGAACATTAAACTCAACATTATTAAACAAATAATCCAAGATTTCCATTTCCAAAGTAGAATAATTAATCCTAACATGAGAGTAAAGTGAGCATATACCTTCTATGGTGCACCAGGTGCACCGATGCACCAAGATTTGAAAAAAAAAAAAATTTGAAACCTGTTGTTCAAGTTGTCCGGTTCCCTCTTTTTTTTTCTTTATATTTTTTGGAGTTCCGAGCTTCTTTTTTTTTTTTGTTAGAGTTCCCAACTTTTCTTAATATTTAATCTTTGGCCTGTTTTTTTTTTTTTGGAAAGAAACTTTGTCTTATTCTTTTTTTTTTTTGGTCAAAATGTCTTATTTAATTTTTAGATAAACTAATCTTAACCTAACTAACCGAATCAAATTTTAGAGCTTACAAGAACGAAGGATAATACAAAAATGATCTATTCCTATATGGTAATTTACCTCTCTGAATAAAATTACATTATGTACTTTATTTTTCTTTGGATAAAAACGAATATAAAAGCTATCTAAGATGAGGCGCTTGCATGCAATGCTACCAAAGAAGCATAAATGCCATCCTTGATACCGATTAAAGTTTCATGCTTTCCTTTCTCTGCAATGACTCCATTTTTCACCACAGCGATTACATCCGCACCCTTTATTGTGGATAACCGATGGGCAACAACGATTGTGGTTCGATCCACCATGATTCGCTCCAATGCATCTTGAACCACTCGTTCCGATTCAGCATCAAGAGCACTTGTGGCTTCATCTAGGAGTAGTATCTTTGGTGCCTTCATTATAGCTCGTGCAATTGCCACCCTTTGCTTCTGTCCACCAGACAATTGAATCCCCCGCTCTCCTACTATTGTATCATAACCCTGCATTGTTTTTCCAAACTTAACATGGTTAATCTTCAACGAATAAAATTTTGTGAATTTTCATCAACTAGTCCTTCTCATTTATGCAGCACCATGGCAATAGATTACATTATAGTATTTGTGGCCAAAAGAAAGTGACAAGCTTGTTAATTTTGTAGTGCCTACCTGTTGTAAACTACTGATGAACTTGTGTGCATTTGCCAATTCTGCAGCAGCTATAATTTCAGCCTCTGGTGCATTCCCTTCCTTTCCATATGCAATGTTGGCTCTGATAGTGTCATTAAACAATACAGGCTCCGGGCTCACCAGTCCCATTTGCTGTCTCAACCACTTGAGCTGTAGCTTTTGGATTTCAAATCCATCTAATGTAATGTGACCTGAATCAGGGTCGTAAAATCTCTGCAACAATGAGACGACTGTCGATTTCCCACTTCCACTTTCTCCAACCAAAGCAACTGTCTGAATAACATAATTCAAATTTGTAAGTCCCAGAAACTTGAATTAGACTACGAGAACCAAATCTTAGGCATTGTTAGAAATGAGTAAAAGAACAAAACTGTTACCAAGTTACCTTGCCATGATGAATGGTCAAGCAAAGATCCTGGAAGATTGGTACATCAGGTCTAGTTGGATACTTGAAACTGACATGGCGAAGTTCAATTTCTCCCTTCACATTTTCTATAGTTGTTCCAGATTCATCACTAGAGTCTATTTTTGATTTCCGGTCAAGAATGGCAAATATGGAAGCAGCAGAGCTCTTTACTTTACCAAGATTAGGGGCTAGGGAACCTGACTGAGACACTCCAACAGCTGTCATCACGAGAGCAGAGAAAACCTGCAAACCAGGGAAATGTTCTCAATCGACTGAATGGTCTAATGAAGATTTAATTCTCAAGTAACACGTATTTAGCAGAGTTCGGATCCTCTGCTAATGTTTTCTCATCTATTTACTTACTTGAAGACTTGTAGCGCAAGGTATAAAAACTTACCCGGAAAACATCAGAGAATGTTGTCTTGCCTGCTGCAACAAGTCGGGCTCCAGCATAAAAACTGCAGGCATACACAGAAAAAAGAAAAAAGAACGATAGCCCAAAACCTATCCCGCTGATTAACCCTCGTCTTATCCCTGTCTTAATAGGGCCTTCACATTTCTTCTGGTACAATCCAATCACCTTCTCTTCAGCACAAAAGGAAGCAATTGTTCGAATACTCCCAACTGCATCATTGGCTACTTGACTTGCGTCCTCGTACATTTTCTGCAACAATTTAAAATTTTCAGCATTGACAAAAAAGATTGATCTTATATATATTATGTATGTCGTATTGGATGGTGTTTTGACTGCACCAGCTACAATTTATATACTATAAACTTTTGTAAAGTTTGGACTTTGGAGAAATACCTTTGCATCTGCACTGAATCCTTTCAAGAACTTGACTTGAACATAACCAGCTAATCCTAATAGAGGCAGCAAAACCAGGATTATAAGAGAAAGTTGCCAATTTGCCACAAAAGCAATACACAAACCAGCAATTGCAGTTGCTGAATTCTCAACCAGCAACCCTAGAGCATCTCCAACCAGCCCACGCAGAGAAGCTGCATCTGCGGAAAGCCTCGCACCAATTGCACCACTTGAGTGCTCAGGATCGTCAAACCAACTTACTTCCATGTAAACCACCTTCTCATAGCACATTGATCGAACTCGTTTTATTAACTTACACCCTGCCACCGCAAAAAAGTATTGTCTTGCTGGCATTGCTATGAAAGTTACCACTCCAAGAACAATGAAGATTAATGCCCAAAACTTCGAATCCTTACGGAGTTGAGGAGGTGGCTCGTAGTAGGTCTTGATTACACTGGATAGCAATATCGCAAAAATAGGTAAGATTGCCCCATTGACTGCTGCAGCTAAAGTACCTAGTAATAATACTGGGATCTCTGGCTTGTTCAGGTAAGCCAGGCGGCAAAGTGAGACTTCTGGAGGCACTCTTGATGATGCTGAAGCAGGAATATCATGTCCTGCAGATGCTGTTTCAAGAGAACTGACTGCAGTGGGCACACCGTATGAGATTGAGAAGGAATGACGGTAACTATTTCCTCTTCCAGATGATCCCCGGCTTATGGATCGCAAGTTTGAAAATCTTTTACTTGAATGTCTTCGAGAATCCACGCTGCTAAGCCTTTCGTGATCATTTACAGAAGTCTGTTCTGACACGCTGCTCATTTCTTGCAACCTTATAAGCTGGCTATATGCTCCTCCAGGGTCCTTAATTAGCTCAGAATGTGGACCTGCTCAGTTGACAACGATCAGTATGTGCAATACCCATGGACTATGAATAAGATGAATTGTAACATTATGTTGAACTATAGACAATACGATTTGGCCTTCAAATGGTACAACATAAACAAATGCATTACCTTTTTCAACAATTGTTCCTCGATGTATAACAGCAATGGTGTCAGCATTCCTTACTGTGCTCAAGCGGTGGGCTACAACGACAGTAGTCCGGTTGATCATAATTCTGTCCAGTGCGTCCTGCACAATTCTCTCAGATTCTGCATCAAGAGCACTTGTGGCTTCATCTAAAAGTAAAATCCTTGGGTCTTTGAGAATTGCTCTAGCTATTGCAATTCTCTGCTTTTGGCCCCCAGATAGCTGAGTTCCATGCTCACCAACCATTGTGTCCAGTCCCTAAATGCATAAATCACAAAACCACGAATAAGAAAAAAGGAGTTGAATGAGTTGATCGAAATAATCTGAGTTTTTAGAAAATTCATTTGATCTCTCTATATTTCCATCTTTCAATGTAACAAAATGATAAGATCACTGGATGTCTCAATAAGCTTCCATGGTCGTGGAAATTAAGAATTCACACAAAAAGTTCAGAGAACAAAATACCAGAACTTAGATGAAATAAATTAAGAATTCACACAAAGAGTTCAGAGAACAAAATACCAGAACTTCAACGAAAGTTTAATTGAATTTAACCTGAGGCAGTTTGTCTATGAATTTAGCAGCATTGGCAAGCTCAGCAGCAGCCCTTATTTCTTCAGTGGTTGCACCATCCTTCCCATAGGCAATATTATCTTTAATGCTACAAGTAAATAAAACGGGTTCCTGGCTGACAAGGCCTATTTTCTGTCTGATCCATTTCAGTTGGAACTCTTTGAGATTAATACCATCAATAAGAACTTCGCCAGCTAGGGGGTCATAAAATCTCTCAATCAAACTGATTACAGTTGATTTACCACTTCCACTCTCTCCAACCAAAGCAGCAGTTGCACCACTAGGTATTGAGAGAGAAAATCCATCGAATATTTGTTCATCCGGTCTTGCAGGATAACTAAAATATCTATGTCGCCACGGATATCATGTAATTGTTGCCCGTTAGTGTCAGAAGCATCAATCTCTGGCTTTCTGTCAATTGTCTCAAACATCTTATAAGCTGCAGCTTGTCCAGCAGCAAATGCACTCAAGCATGGAGATGCCTGCCCAAGAGACCTGAAAAGTTATCATAGAAAGCAGAAAGTTATATCTTGATCTTCTGAAGAATCACATATCAAATTTTGGACTGAACGGGGTAGGGGGAGTAGTCAGTAGATCACGCAAAAATGCAAACATGTTAACTAGTACAATAGTACTAGGATCAACAAATTTGTTTCTTTAAATTTTACTGGAATGCAACTTACATGGAGCCAGTCAATACAGCGAAAACTATATTAATGACTTCCCCTCCTGTATATCCTTTTTCAAGTATCATCTTTCCTCCAAACCATATAGCCAGAGCATAACTCCACATTATAATCAGCATAGCCGAACCAATTCCGAACCCAGATGCCAAACCCTCTTGCACACCAGAGTTGTAAGCTTTAATTAAGGAGTTGTTGTAATTAGTTATAGCTTGCTTTTCTCCTGTAAACGATGCAACCTGAATTCGGAACACCAATCAGTTTTAGTTCTACACTAAGAAAATTGAAATTATAAAATTTTGTTTTAAAGATCTTAAAGACAAGTAGGCCTACTGTTCTGATTGAACCAATTGTCTGCTCTACCACAGTTGCTGCCACTGAATAAGCAGTTTGTCCACTGGATGCCATCTTTGATATAAGGATGGCCATGACGGCACCAGAGAGGACAAGAAGGGGGATAGAAGATAGCATGACAAGGGTGAGAAGCCATCCCTTAACAAATGCTATAACAAAGCCTCCTACGAATGTTGCAATTAACTGGATAAAATTTCCTACCTGCAATAAGAAAATGAAAGAATGAGAGGTTACTGGAGAAAATAGCAACAGCTTAAGGCTTTTGTGTGTGGCATGTAAATACCTTCTCGCCCATGGCCTCTTGAATGAGCACAGTATCACCTGACATCCTCCCAACAATTTCCCCAGTGTTAATTTCTTT